CTGTCATTGTTACTCACACCCCTTTTCTCCTTGCCTGGGAACAAATGCCATCTTACCGCTCCTTCCTGGCAGTACAGATAAAGAGCTGGAAATCCTATGTATTGAGTCTTGTGCTTATCCTCAACAAGATGCCAGAAACCAAAGGTGTCAGGATAAAAAAATTTTAAAAAGTCTCATCAACACATTTCTCCCCAGTAGAGACAGCCACCAGTGTCTGGCTCTACCAGGTTATCCATAATCAATCTTGGGATAATTCGGGGAAAGCACTAAACATTAAACCCTTTCTCCCTGGGGCTCAAAGCACAATAGCTTTCTGCTGTCTTTGGAACTTTGTTTACCAAGAGCTCAAAGGAGCTGCTGCCAACGTCTCAAATGTGGAAGAGCACAAGGGGATCCCCTGGGCTGGACAGCACAGGTGGGCTGTTCTGTGTGCAAGGTGCCCTGGTTTCTCATTAACCAGCACAAGAGAGCCTAGGTTCTTTCCCAAATGTATTTACTGCAGGTGAGTTGGCTTTTATATTTTCTAAACTGAATGGCTAGAGAGTTCACATACAAGATCCAGTATTATCTGATGGAAGCAGATTTCCACTTACATATAGGGATTCAATTAAAAAATAATACAGGGGCCAGAGCAATATTGCAGCAGGGAGAACATTTGTCTTACATATGACATACCTGGGTTTGATCCCTGGTCTCCCATATGGTCCCCCAAGCACCTTCAGGAGTAATTTCTGAGTGCAGAGTCAGGAGTAACGCCTGAGTGCTGGTAGGTGTAATAAAAACAAAACACAAACAAAAACATTTTTTTTTTAAAGAATCAAAGCAGAACAAGAAATAACTTGGAACTGATTGGCCATTGAGATGAGGAGACAGATTCTATTCTCTAAACTGCCACCCTTCTTGATAACAAACTCTTTACTTGTCATAACTTTGCAGCCTATGCTTAAGTCATGAAAGAGTTTTAACAGAATGAGAAGTGTAGTTTTACAATATTGACTAATTGCTTTTTCTAGTCAGAGCAAAATTTCTGTATTCATTGCACTATGGATGTGTTACAGAAATCTGACCCTGAAACAGGAAGAACCTGAGAATTATGAGGATGGTCACTTCGTTTATTATGCAAGCAAATTTCACCTGCCTATTGTTGCAAATTATGTCAAGCCTGATCACAATTCACAAAGGGCTTTTATAAGCTAGATACAGGATACATCATTTAAAAAAAATAATTCTTTTTAATTTAATTAAAGAAACTTGTTATCGATAAGTTATTGATAGTTGAGTTTTAGATAAAACATTTTAGCACCAATCCCACCATCAGTGTCAACTTCTCCCACTAGCATTCCCCAGAGAAATATTTTTCACCTAACACACGCAATGGTTATATTCATGGTTGCTAATATATGTATAGCTAGTACAATCAATGATGAATGAAATTTGTTTAAATTTCTTATTGATATTTACTAGGGAGGTAGTAGGGGACACTGAGTCATTGGTGGGGCTCAGGGCACCGTGTGCTAGACATTGAATGAATGCATACAAGGTAAGTGTAAGTTCTGGTCCCTCCTAGAGCTTTGAACACCAGAGCCTTCTCACCCCATTCTCCTTCCCCCAGTTAAACTGCTGACTTCAGTAGGAATGAGGTGCTGCTTCTCCATGGGAAGGTCGTTGCTCCACTGATGGAGACTTTTCTTGTGTAGGGCCACACCCAACAGTGCTGCCCCTCCCCCCCCCCCCCCCCCCCGCCAAGTGACACTCAAGTGACACTTGGTAGTACCGGATGGAGGGCTTGTGGTGTTGGGGATCATGCCGTGGAGCAAATTTAAGGCCTCATAAGTTCATCACCTCATATTTTATTATTTTTTTTTGCTTTTGAGGTCACACTCAGCAATGTTCAGGAATTACTCCTGGCAGTGCTTGGGGAACCATATGGGATGCTGGAGATTGAACCCCAGTTGGCCGCATGCAAAGCAAAGGCCCTGCCCGCTGTGCTATCGCCCCTGCAACAAGTTTATCACCTCTTGAGTTTTCTCCCTGAGCCCTGCTAATGGGTTTTTGGTAGAAACTAACCTTTTTTTAAAATTTTTTTTACTTTTTGGGTCACTCCTGGCGATGCTCAGGGGTTACTACTAGTTCTGTACTCAGGAATTACTCCTGGCGATGCTCAGGGGACCATATGGGATGTTGGGATTCGAACCCGGGTTGGCCGCATGAAGGCAAATGCCCTACCCGCTGTGCTATTGCTCCAGTCCCCCCAGAAACTAACTTTCTGAAAGTTACCTGGTTAGTGCGCAGTAGAGATGAGTATTGAACAGTTCTCTCTGACGCCCATCAAACTTCTAACCATTCAATTGGTGCCTCATTTCACTTTGTTTTGTCTCTGCAGTGCTGGGGATTAAACACGTGAGCTCTGCCATTAAGTCACAACCATGGTCACCTTCATTCAGAACTTTTGATTACTTGTCTATAAAGTGACTGTCACTGTCACTGTCACTGCCCTCCCGTTGTTCATCGATTTGCTCGAGAGGGCCCAGTAACGTCTCCATTGGAGACTGTGTTGTTACTATGTTTGGCATATCAAATACATCACAGATAGCTTGCCAGGCTCTCCGAGAGGGGCGGAGGAATCGAACTCAGGTCGGCCATGTTGGCTGCGTGCAAGGCAAACGCCCTACCACTGTGCTATCGCTCTGGCCCATACCACCCTGAATGCGCCCGATCTCATCTGATCTTGGAAGCTAAGCAGGGTCGGGCCTGGTTAGTACTTAGATAAAGTGACTATAAAAATAAAAATAAGAATTTGAGGGGTTGGAATGAGAGTACAGTGGGTAGAGTGCTTGTCTTGCATGTGACCCACCAGGGTTCAATATAGACCCCAACCAGCACTCTATATAGACCTCCGAGCCCTGCCAGGAGTGATCTCTGGGCGCAGAATCTGGGGTAAGCCTAAACTCATCCAGGTGTGGCCACAAACAGAAATAAACAAACAATCAAACAAACAAAAAGGATTCTAAGAACTAAGCATATGAATGAGAATAAGATACTACTAGTTAAAACAAAAAACTATGTTAGAGGCATAGTGATATAATTCGGTAATAAAATGCCAGTCTGGCATATGCTCAATCCCCAATACAACCAAGTTAATGAATAAAATAAAAAATATTCTATACAGTCTTGCTTTTTTATTTTTATTTGCATTGGGTCACATCCAGCAGTGCTCAGGACTTCCTCCTCACTCTGTGCTCAGGAGATCATCTGGATTCCAATAATCGAAACTGGGTTGGCTGCATGCAAGGCAAGCAACCTACCCTCTATACCATCATTCCAGCCCCTAGGCTCTTCCCAGTCTGTGCTCTAATTGAATAACTCTCTCTCTCCTCTCCTCTCTCTCCCTTCTCCTCTCTCTCTGTCTCTCTCTCCTCTGTCTCTGTTTCTGTCTGTCTTCCTCTGTCGCTCTCTGTCTCTGTCTCTGTCTCTCTGTCTCTGTCTCTGTCTCTCTGTCTCTGTCTCTGTCTCTGTTTCTGTCTCTGTGTCTCTCTGTCTCTCTGTGTCTCTCTGTCTCTCTGTCTCTGTCTCTCTCTCTCTCTCTCTCTCCCGTTTTTTTCCCACTCTGGGGAAAAGCCCTTGTTCTTTGGTCTTTCTTGAACATACCTTGCTCCTCTTTTCCTCTCCTCACATATTTCTAAGTAAATTTCTTTTTTTTTTTTATTTTTTGCTTTGTGGGTCACACTTGGCAATGCTCAGGAGTTACTCCTGGCTTTGCGTTCAGGAATTACTCCTGGCAGTGCTCTGGGGACCATATGGGGTTCAGGGAATCCAACCTGGGTCAGCCACATGTAAGGCAAATGCCCTACCCACTGTGCTCGCTCCAGCCCCTAAGTAAATTTCTTTCAATGAAAACTATTCTGCTTTTCTTAAAAAAATATATTCTATTTATTCAAGAGCTCCTGCAGATGAAGCAGAACCAAATGCAAGCCTGTTTTCATAGTGAAGTATAAAATGAGGGGCTCGATTCTTGCATGCGGTTGACATGGGTTGATCCCCGGCATCCCATATGGTCCCTGGAGGCCCCTCCAGGAATGATTCTTTAGTGAAGGGTGAGGAGTAAATGCTGAGTATCTCCAGGTAAAAGCAAGCAAGCAAAGACCCAAACGACCCAGAAAGTGAAACTAGACTTGAAGCTCCCAGGAAAAGGAAGGGGTAGGGGAACTGGGAAGATAGTTCAGGGGCAAGGGGCACCAGCCTGGCATGCATGAGGTGTGATCGCAGGACCGGCCCCTGAGTCACACCAGATGGTTAGGCCTGGGCGTTGAACTGATTGGTCCAGGATCTGGGAGACAGAACAGGGATTAAGGCAGTTGCTTTGCATGAGACTGATCCCCTCCCACCACATAGGTTTCCCTAAACACCCCCAGGAGTGATCTCTGAGCACAGAGTTAGGAGTTATCCCTGAGCACTGTTGCATGTGCCCCAACACCACCACCATGACCCCACTCCCCTGAAAAGGGAAGAACTGTGTAGGCTGAGAGATTTTAGGGGTTAAGGAACTTTCTTTGCACAATGCTCACCCTGGACCAATCCCTGGCACTGAATATGGTCCCTGTGCACCAGGAGTGATCTCTGAGCTCAGAGTCAGAAGTAAGCCCTGAATACCCTGAATGTGGCCCCCAACCCAAACCCCTCTGCCCCTGCAAAACTAAACAAAACTGTCAGCCCTGGTCATCTGAATGGACCCTGAAACCCTGGGTACTGGCCCCTGAGCAATCCCCTCAACAAACAAAAAGAAAAAGAGGGTGGAATCATTCCTCCTTCTACCAGTCCAGTGAACTGGATTAGAAGCTTCTATTCCTATAGATTTCTAACCTGAAGCCAAGGGGCATAACTTACCCTTTGGGTTCAGGATGACATTTTTTTGTTGTTGTTTTGGGACTATATGCGGCAATGTTGGGGGCTATTTTCTGGCTCTGAACTCAGGCCTCCTGGCAGTGGATCCGAGGATCCACATGGTGCCAAGAAATGAACCACAGCCGTCTGCATGCGAATCAGCCCTCTCTTTGGCCCCAACAGATGCGGATCTGTCAAGAACGAGCTTTGAGGTGAAGGGGACTCTGCCCACTAAAATGCAGTCAGGTACACCTGAGGTCAGAGGCTCTGCCGCCTGGCCCTCCTCCCCGGAGCTGCTTTTTCTAACTAGTCCCAGAGCAGAAATTTTGTTCATTGGTAAAATACACTAGTGGGAATTTCTTAGTTGGGCTTGGGGGCCACACCCACTGCCAGGGATCAGCCAAAGCTGCCTCCATGCAGGTCAAATCTCTTAACCCTTTGGCCTCTCTCTGGCCTCCGGCAGGAGTTAGGAGACTCCTATAGTGTATTGGCAGTCATCAAAGATTGTGCAGTGCCCAGGAATCACAGGAAGAGGCCTCAGATCTGGCAAAGGGAGGCAGGGGGAGGAGTTCAAGCTCTACTGCTTGTCTGTTAGTAAATTGGGGATGTTTTGGTGACTTCACTACCAACCTAGTGAGTGTTTAGACACTTTTTCCGTATCTCACAAAAAACCTCCCAATTGCCCACAGACACAAGTCCTTTATCGAATTGTCCTTATTCACTGCATAGATAAGGAATCCAAGCTGGGACTGAAAGATCTGAGTAGGGGTCAGGTAAAACTGGATCCAGAACCTTCACCCCTGAGAGGATTAACTGGGTGACCTTTGATAGGACATTTACCCTCTTTCATCTGTGAAATGGGGATCATTACATATCCGACACTGACCTTGGTGAAGTGTGTGGTCCAGGCCAGGACCGTTCAAAATACTGGACAAGAGGACTGAGAAAAAAGATGGAGCCACATTTAGGGCTCAGGGATAATAATACCACCCCACAGTGTTATTGCAAGGCTGGATATTGATTAGGATAATGGATATTGTTTAGAATAGCACATAGAGAAACAAATACGCGAGGAGTCGCACAGAGCAAGGCAGGTGATGTAAATGCAATTCTATTCTCTCTCTTTGTGTTTGTGTGGTATTGGGGGGTGAGGAGAGCACACTCCGCAATGCTCAGGGGTGCTTCTGACTCTGTACTCAGGAATTACCCCTGACAGTGCTTGCGAAGCCATATGGGATATCAGGGAACAAGCCCAGGTCAGATCACTACAAAGCAAGAGCCCTGCCTGTTGTGCTGTCTCTCCAGCTCCTAGAATTATATTCTTATAAAGTTCTTATAATACAGAGATTCCCAAATTCATTTGGTCTCCCATTATCTTTTCAGGAAAAAAAAAATGTACAGCACTCTTCCCCTTGAAATCTTTCTTTAAGTGAACAAGTAGAAAGCAATGCCCCCACACCCCTCTCTCCCCGGACCTCCCCCCACACACACATTCACCCCAGTAAAGATATTCAACAGGTTGAGCATTTGCTTTGAAAGCTAGTGACCCAGGTTTGATCCCCAGCATGGGACAGAGCCTCAAGCTCAAAGGTGGAATAAAGAGTAGAGCAATAGTATAGCAGGTCAGGTGCTTGCCTTGCATGCAGCCAACCTGGGTTCAATTCTCAGCATCCCATTGGACTCCCAAATCCCTCCAGGAGTGTGATTCTTGAGCACAGAGCAAGGAGTTAAGTCTTGAACACAGCTGGGTGTGAACCAAAAACTAAAATAAATTCAAAACCAAGCCAACCTCCCCCACCACAACCCCTCTCAAAACCCTGAACATCATTGAATATGTTCCTCCTCACCCCCCCAAAAAAAATTTAAAAAAGAAACAAAAAGCACAGTCCAAGTATATCTAGGTCTACCGTCATCCCCACCTCTAATTGTTCCAGAGTCCCCTCACATGGTGAAATATATGTTTTCCACTTTGGGAAGATTTTGTATAAGGTGGGTAATAAATAGATTAAAGTAGATAGAAAGTAAGACCACTATTGCGATCCCTGGAATAATCCTGGAATAATCATGAAAAAGAAATGACAGAGGCCACAGAGATAGTACAGTGGGTGAGGCACTTGCTTTTACATAGCTGACCCGAACTCCATCAGTGATTCCTGTGCACAGAGCCAGGAGGAAACTCTGAGCATCACCTTAAATCTAACCAATATTAGTATGTTAAAGTGAACTTAACACTAAAAGACAGAGATCATCAATTTTTTATTTTAAGTTTTTGGGTACCACCTGGGGATGCTCAGGGTTTACTCCCGGCTCTGTGCTCAGGAATTACTCCTGGCAAGCTCAGGGGACCATTTAGGATTCCGGAGATAGAATCCCGGTCAGTCACCTGCAAGGCAAATGCCCTCCCTGCTGTGCTATCATTCCATCCCCCAAGAAATCATCAGATTTAAAATAAAAATCAGAAGCTGGGGGAGAGAGCTCAACAGGCTGGAGTCCGTGCTTACATTCCAGGCCCAGGTTGGATCTACAGTTACCATGTGGTCCCTAAGAGACTGAGCCCCACGGGATATGAACACATAGTTTTCCTGCACCAGGCCCCACGTTCAGCTCCTGGCACTTCATGTCCTCACACTGCCAGCACCAGGGAGAGCCTGGTGGTCATTAGAAAATAGCACTGCAGGTTGCAAAAAACCAAAGAACCAAAAAACAACCCTCTCTTCCAGCACTCTTCGCCCCCAACATTTTTTTTATTTTATCTTTTTTTTTTTTTTAGATTTTTATTAGTGAAACACCATATATGATATAGTTATAGATTTACAAATTTTCGTGCTTGGGTTTCAGTTATACAATGATTGAATACCCATCCTTTCATCAGTGCCCATTCTCCACCACCACTGATCCCAGTATCCCTCCCACTCCCCCATCCCCTCACCCTACCCTGCCTCTGTGGCAGGGCATTCCCCTTTGTTATCTCTCTCCTTTTTCTCGCCCCCCCCAACTTTAAAAAAATGCATTTAATGTATTTTTTTAAAGCTAGAATTGTTACTAATTAATAGGGAGGATATTTGGAGTTCCCTCAGTCCTCAGAAAGCAAAATCCACATACTAACTCTTTTCAATTTAATTAATTTTTTTAATTTAGGCACTAGGATGTACAGTTATTGGAGTTGAGCTTTAGGCTTATTTTCCTACACCTACCTGTTCACCAGTTGTCAACATCTCTCCACCAATGTCCCCATATACCTCCTCACCCCGGCGAGACTTCTTCACAGGCACTTTTTTTTTTTCTTTTTGGGTCACACCCAGCAAGGCACAGGGTCACTCCTGGCTCTGCACTCAGGAATTATCCCTGGCGGTGCTCAGGGGACCACATGGGATGCTGAGAATGGAACCCGGGTCGGCCGCGTGCAAGGGGCAACAAAGCTGAACGGCTCCAATTCCAACAGGTACAGCCCGCCCCAAGGGCCTGGGTTCCTCTCTGGGCACGCGCAGCTAGAAACAGCCCCTAGACAGCAGGTTTTCAACACCTGATCTGCGTGGACGGGCACAGAGGCCCAGCTCTGGGCAACAAAGCTGAACGGCTCCAATTCCAACAGGTACAGCATTTGTGGTTTAGGGGATCAAACTCTCGCTTGCAAATACCCTACCAATTAATGAGCTACATTTCCAGCCTAAAGAAATACATTATTTTTTTTTTCTCTAGATTTTTGCATCTTACTCCTCTCACTGCTTACGGGTGGCTTCCAGAAGTATTTGGGAGACCATATAATTGGACTTATAATGGATTTTTTTAATAAAATGGATTTTTTATTATAATATAAATGGACTTATAATGTAGACTTATAACAAGGCTTACACTGAGGGCTCCTGCATGTGAAGCATTTACTCCAACCCTCTGAGCCATCTCCCTAGCCCAAGAGACACTCTTGAAATATGCAGACACAGACTAGTTGTATCAGTGCATATTAAAAATATGCAGACAGAGTACCTGTATAGCTGGACTTTAAAAATATGAAAAGGTGATATGGTGTATGCCCAAGCGGAGTTTAGGATTACCAAAAGGATTATCAGAAATACCAATTTTATTATAAACAAGTAAGTTTATCAAGAACAAAAAGTTTTCTGAGGTGGGACTGAAAAGATTGAATAGCAGATAGTTTGCTTGCCTTGCATGTGGCAGACTTTAGTTCGATCCCCAATACTCCATATTGGTCCCTGGAGCCAACCAGGGGTGATATATAGGGACCCAGGAGCACCTTCAGGAATTATCCCTGAGAGCAGAGCCAGGAGAAAACCCTGAGCACCACCAGATGTGACCCCCCAAACAAAAACCAAAAACAAAAAAATATTCAACAGCATGTCAACAACCCTTTTAATAGAGCTTAAAAAGTACATGAAGCAAACATTAAGAGAGCTAATGGTAGAGAGACAAATCCACAATTAGAGCTGAAGAAGACTTTTTTAGATGATAGCACAGCGGGTAGGGCACTTGCCTTGCACATGGCGGACCCGGGTTCGATTCCTCCATTCCTCTCGGAGAGCCCAGCAAGCTACCGAGAGTATCCCACCCACACGGCAGAGCCTGGCAAGCTCCCTGTGGCGTATTTGATATGCCAAAACCAGTAACAACAAGTCTCACAATGGAGATGTTACTGGTGCCAGCTTGGGCAAATCGATGAACAATTGGAGGACAGTGCTACAGTGTCCATGGTCTACAATTACTGAAACATGTAATCAAAAACAATTGTAAAATAGGGCAAGATTTAAATAATATTGCAATTAATTACGTTAATGTGTAATGTAAAATATGCATTAGTTCCCATGAAGATTCATTAAAGATAGATACGGTGTTGAACTATCTTAATGCAAAAGAGTCTCAACAAATTTCAAAGGGGCAGGAGCAATAATACAGCGGGTAGGACATTTACTTTGCAAGTGGCTGATCCAGGTTTGATCTCTGATACCCTATGTAAACCCCCAAGCCCGCCAGGAGTAATCCCAGAGTGCAGAGCCAGGAATAAGCCCTTCCAGGAGTATGACCCCACCTCACCCCCAATAAATAAATAATTAAATTTTAAAGAATAATCTAGTGTCAGTATTTTAGTAATTATTAAAATGAGGGTGAGTTTACCGTTTCATAATCTTTTTTTTTTTAATTGAATCACGGTGAGATGTGCAGTTACAAGGTTGTTTATGATTGGGTTTCAGTCATATAATGTCCCAATACCCATCTGTTCACCAGTGTACATTTCCTATCACCAATATCCCCATTTTCCCTCCCATCACCCTCCGCACCCGTCCCCCCACTCCTACACCCACTCTGCTGTTACATACATTTGTACTTTTATACTTTTGTACTTTTCTTCTCTCTCTCTGTCTCTCTCTCTGTCTCTCTCTCTCTCTCTCTCTCTCTATCTATCTCTATCTCTATCCTTCTGGGCATTATGGTTCACAATATAGGTATGGAGAGATTATCATGCATATCTCTTTACCTGCTTTCAGCATTCAGCTCTTGTCCAGAGTGACCATTCATCATCCCCAGCTATCATTTTCTTACTGGTCACTTCTCTATACAGTTGTTTCAGAATCTAATTCTAAAAATTCTCATACTCACACCTGACAAAAATTTTAGCACCTTCTTCCTAGTTGCAAATTTTCATTTGCTTATTAGATTTTCAGGATAGTACTTGATCTTGATTAGGTACCAGTCAAGCTTAGTTCTTTAATCCCCTACCTAAACAATTGAATTATTTAATATAAATTGCAGTCAATGACAA